GATTCTCTGCAGGGCACGTCGGGACTCGCGCGGACATTCACACCCGCTGCGCGTGCCGTCTGTGCCCTCCGCGCGGATGTTCACTCTCGGCACTACTCTCGCATGGTAGAGAGCTATGGTCGAGGAAATCCTCGACCGTTATTCACTCTGTCCGGAACTGTCGGTATGCCCTTAACCGACGCTACAGGAAAAGTGCTGTCATTACTTATATTGAACTGTATATTCTTGAAGTAGACAAGTTGTTCTTGACACCAACACACCAAAGTTTATTCGACTTCAACACAACAACAACAAAGAATAAAACAAGATACAGATGAGCAGAAAAGACGACCACTAAGGTCGAGTCGAGAGCGAGAGCGTGGCCACTAAGGCCAAAAAAAGGTGGGAGGTAGTCCTGGATCCGCGGGCTTCTTCAGCCCGAGCTGAGAATCAACTGAATCACACCGCAGGCTGTTTTTGAAACTCACGTTTTGATACGATATGCTATCTCACCGTTCTTAATTAAACACGTCTGTTCACGTGTCTCAACTTGTTCTCTCTTAAATGGCTTGCTCTCTTACTAGGACCTTCAGTTAGGCCGTCTTTTCTGAACATCCCTCCCCGTCGGGTTGCCGACGTCCTCGGCGGCCCATGCATAGGTGGCATCATAACTGAGCATGCTATCATTCTTATATTTTCATATAGGTACCTCGCATTCGCCACTCCTGCGTATTTCCCGAAAAACTGCCAACATGTTTCCGGTGATCCAAACTCTGCATAAACTTTTCCATTGATCATCTTTGTAGTGGCTGTTGCGCAAAATTGTCCTTTGCCAGCCCCCTTTTTCAACGTTTCGTCTCCAGTGCGCTCAGACTTCGTTACAATTTTTCTGTCGATGGATCTTCGCTTTGCCCCCCTTACAAAGTTTTTTGCGTTTTCTTAGTTATTTTATTCTATTCTCATGAATACAGAAGTAACGGTTAAGTCTTGTGAATCATCATGGATCACTGTTTTTTAAGCTTGGTGATCGCCAGGATAGCCAGAAATCCAGATCTGACGAAGGCGTCATCGGTTTGTCAATGTTCCACATTTGTGATTTTGTACAAAGAATCAGTGGGTTGAAATACTTTTCTTTACAGCCCTTAGCCACTTCTGTTTCATTTTTCGAGTCTGACAAAAAGTCGTTAAAGGTGGTGATGTATCAAAGGCGGAAGGCGAAAAAGGTTCAGCGGAAAGTAAAGCTCTGTTGATTGCCAAAACCTTTGGAAACGACCCTGAAATTGAGATTTCTGGGAATATAAGCCTTCTGCGAGGGTAAAATTCGAAGTTTCCTTTGGGTGATAGTATTGCAGTGGAAAACCATCCTTGGTCTGTTTGTGATATTGCAAAGCCGAGCAAGTGTCGAGGGAATGTGGAGCAGTTTTTCTTGGATTACCAAGCCGCCATTTAGAAAAGCATTGGGAGTTAGGAGGCTTAAGTCTCCCTGGTACACCTTTCTGACGTCATGTCATTAAAAAATAGAAGTAAAATCAATATAAATGGTCAGACATGAGGAACGTTGAGTATACAAGTAGCCCCGTCTTCAATGGGTGTACTCAAATGGGCCAGGCGAAAGACAAAAAGTTCCACCTTGATTAGAACAGTTCAGGAGCTCCGGAGAAAGGGTGAAGGTGCACCGTATTGCCAGGGCGATTTAGGATGACCCACCCGCGGTAGGCTTACAAGGAAAGGTCATTTTGTCGATCTGCCTTTTTACTAGGGGTACATGCCTGTACAGACCGTGGGATGCGGAATTTAATATACTTTCAGTATGTGAACTCTTTTCCTTTGTACGGAGTTTTAAGCGGAAACGCAGTCGTAGTGGTTCCGGTCCACAGGTGAGAGGTGGTGAGAATCGCTCTTGAGAAATTTGCTCTTCTGCTTCTCTCAGTAAAATAATTGGAAGGGCGTGTAACAGTGGAATTCGTTGTCATGCACATTTGAAAGGTTTGCAAAAAGTTCCTACCGAGAAGTTTGGGCACTATTTGTTCATAACTGCACTTGGCATGGTTACGTGGCTCTTTGGACTCCCTTCTATGTCAGAAAGGGACAGAGTACAGACGGTTGGTGGGCACAGCAAATCCTCCGCGAAAGCAGTGTCAACATTCCAAAGTGAGCAGTTAGGTTTTTCAGTATATGTGGACCAAAGTGGTGAAGCAGCATACCGTGACAATGAATCTCCGATGCGTTTCGACCGCTTTTCCAGGGTTCGTGTAGCCATTTTATGAGTTAAGAGGTTAATCTACTGTTCTGTTTTCGCTTCCAATATTGAATATTTTTAGGTTTCTCGTTCCTTTCATGGAGGCACAAAAGTCACGGCATTCTTTGATCGCGTTCGTGACGATTGTAGTGATCTGGCGGGAGCTGATTTGACAAGTGTTCAACCGGTAATTATTATGTTGCCATTACAGATATTTCTTCCTAAGGCACCTTTGGTATTTTGGATCGTCCCCAAAGGCTGCGCTTTTGTCATGATATCAATATTCAAACAATTTTTGTTCATGTATCCATCTGTAGTACAATGCCCTTCATTATCTATATTGCCTTTCTTTTTGAAAGAATTTTAATAATACTTCTCCGCTCTCCTGATACGTTTATAACTTTCCGGTGCTGCTCCAACCACCTCCACGAAGTTCATTATGTACTTTACCGTTCAAGTAACTGTTGACGAACTGGCATGGTTCCTCATTCCAAATAAATTAACATTTGTTTGGGTTATTCTTGCTGACGAGCGTCGTTTTGAAGAAACAACTGCTGCCTCGAAGCGTAGATCGGCGTTTTCCGGTCGAAAGACCGCTTACCACCATCAGCGACCATCCTTCAAGCCGTAGTCTACGGATGTGGGCCTGTTGCTTATAATGACCTGCAATTCTTATGTCTTCGCCGATGGCAGCGTGGTCATTGCTCACCTACACTGGTTTCTGCAAAATAGTTCAGTACGAGCTGCGTCTGTGCTGACGGTGTTTTTCACAAAGCAAATCGGACACAACCATGAATTGCTGACCTTACCCTCTCTCGGAAAAGATTTTCCACATGGTTTAGTGTGCACTAATTATGCATGTTCTCAATGTTAGCTTTCGTAACCTAATTGATTTGCAGAAACTACTTGAAATCATTTGCAGCATAACATTCATGTGACTGTGCCGAGCGAAAGTTCAGAACGCCGTACATTTCTGAATGGGCTGCCTTCCGAACCTTCTTCTTCTACCTCGGAGGGGAGCAGCAATTTTATCGCAGCTACTGAACAATTACCTTTGAGGATGAGGTCGCTTTCGTCTAACCTTGTACAGGTTTGCATGTGCTTTGTCTACAGTGAGAAGAGAAAAGTGGGTAGGTTTAGAGCTAGTAATTTGGCCTTTTGCAAATCGCATTGAAAGTTGCGTTGAAGATTCGTTTATCAGAAAATTGTGGCCTGTTTGTCAACGCCACCTATTTCGTGCAAAAAAAAAAAACGTCGCGATTATTATAATACCTGAAGAACAAACCCAGAAGCGTGCAGAACATTTCATAAAGCTTCCGCTGTGGTGTCCTTGATGGTGTCGTTAACGAAAAAATCTTGTAATGGGCTATTGGATGTTCCGTTTTTTTCTTTCGCGCAATAGCTGAAGCTGAGCTTATTCCATGCTTGAAGCCAGCGATACTTTCACAAATGAGAAAGTCATGGGATTGTGTCGCCTGTGAAACTCGTAATGCGCCCTGTGAAAGCCCCTAT